AGTGGACCGGGACAAAGATGTATCCCTAGCGGGGAACATCTAGAAGAGAAACAATCGATCGCTTAGGTTAAGCGAAACGATAATCCTAGATCGACTGGAGAGTCTTTCGTAGAGGATCTCGCTGTGATTACGCAACCCCAGCTAGAGAAAGTAAAGGGAATAAGTCCCAAGATTACAAATACGGCGGAAATAAGTTCCCCGAAACCCGCGTGAATAAGTCCCCGGGAAGCCGAAGGAATAAGTCCTTCGAGGCCTGAGGGAACAAGTCCCCAGGAAATGACAGAGACATCGAATATCCTAGTCAATAACGGATCAAGTGTAGGCGCTTATACACTTGATCTGATTGCGCCTCCGAAGTTGACTTCGGATATCACTCAGTTGCCAACGCTCGAACATAAAGGTTCTTGCGTGATCTACGTAGTGGCAAAGTCAAGCAGATATGCATACTCGTCAATGACGACGAGTGTGTAACCGACATAAGGTCAGCAACAGTGTTTACTGAGAACGAGAGAGTTCTCAGTAGTTCATCGATGGACGAGAGTGTCCTAGATGAAAAGACACGAATTGAGCAATATGACTCCCAATCGTGGGAATCGCTCAAGACAAATCCTCTCTATGAAGATTTGGTTGAATTCAAGGGTTTATTCCCTGAAACTGTTCCGTGCGAATTACCGAAGGATATAGGTACTCGACACGAGGTCGAGCTTAAACCAGGCTCGAAGTACTGTGTCATGAAGCAGTGGCCACTGCCTCGTGAACAAGTACTTGCGATCGACAAGTTCCTTGCCGACCGTTTAGCTGCGGGCCATGTGAGGGAATCAACTTCCCCATATAGCTCTCCGACCTTCTGTGTGCGAAAGGCAACAGGAGGGTGGCGGATTGTGCATGCATTTAACAAGTTGAATGCTGCAACGGTACCGGCTCAGACGCCGATACCAAGGAAGGATGTAATCTTTGATGGTATGTCAAAGAGTACCATCTTTTCGTCCATGGATTTGATGGATGGCTTCTATCAAATCCTTATGCGAGAACGGGATATACCCTATACCGCAGTGAGCACGCCTAGCGGCATGCTCTGGGAATGGCTAGTAATGCCACAAGGGCTTAGTAATGCCCCTGCCACGTTCAACAGATGTATATCACATCTGTTGAGACCAGTACGAGAATTTGCACCGAGTTATTTCAATGACCTATTCATCCATAGTCGGGCTATGGATGGAAATTCGGACGTTGAGGTTCACAGGTACCACGTCCGACAGGTTCTTACAATCATGCGAAAGCATCAATTGTATGCAAAACGCAAGAAGTGTATATTTGCAGCAAGCGAAGTACCACTTCTTGGGTGCATCGTTGGTAAGAACGGAGTACGTCCTGATCCCGAAAAGATCAAGGCGATCACCGACTGGCCTGTGCCGATTGATGTCAAAGGTCTTCGAAAATTCCTTGGGCTAGCGGCGTATTTGCATAAGTATTCACGCAATTACGCCGAGATGACTGTGCACCTCTCTCGTTTGTTGAAAAAGAACGAGAGGTGGTTATGAACGCTGAATGTCAGCGCTCCTTTCATTATATCAAGCAGAGCTTAATACAATCCCCAGTCCTAGCAATAGCCGATCAGGACAGGCCATTTCATGTGGTCTGTGATGCCAGCGATTTCGCAATCGGCTGTGCGTTAATGCAGTACGACCTTGAAGGCGTTGAACGCGTCGTCTGCTATCAGTCGCGTCAGCTGCAACCAGCTGAGCGGAACTATTCAGTGCATGACAAGGAACTCCTTGCCATGAAGTATGCACTCGCGAAGTTCAGAGTCTATCTATTAGGAGATAGACCCTTCGTTGTTTACACTGACCATGCGTCGTTACGCACGGCAGTAAACAGTTCGCACCCTTCACAACGAATGGCGCGGTGGTTGTCACTCTTTGCAGAATACAATTTTACGGTAGAGTACAATCCAGGACGACTTACTGTCGTCGCTGATGCACATCCACGTCGGCCCGACTTTGAACCAGTCGTGAAACCCAGCAGTGAGACAGCCACTGTTGCGGTTATGAGGTCCTCAGTACCATCTTCAACGTTATATGATGATGTGAGGCGGGCATACGCCCAAGATGGTGAGATTGTGAAGTTGTTGACACATCTCTCACAATCATCTCGAGAACCGTTGAAACGATTATCGTTTGCGTATCGATCTGCATCAGATCGATACACTACTCGCAACGGTTTACTGCATTATACAGCCGTTTCTGGTGACACACCACGTGTTGTCATTCCAGATGATACTGATCTGCGGTTGCGGATCATGTTCGAGTATCACGATGCTCCTATAGGAGGACATCGTGGCCGACAGAAAACTTATATCACGGTGAGTCGAGACTTTTACTGGCCCCGCCAGTATCAGTTTGTGCGCAAGTACGTTCGCGCATGCGAAGTCTGTCAACGAGTGAAGTCAAGTCCTTCACTGCGTGCACCTTTACAGCCTCTACCGGTTCCGGCTGAGTGCTGGGAATCCATCTCAATGGATTTCGTCTTCGGGTTACCCAAAGACGCACGCGAGAATACGGGTATTCTCGTATTTGTTGACAGATTCAGCAAAATGGTACACCTTGTGGCTATACCCGAATCAATCACAGCAATTGACTGTGCTTGTGTCTTTATTGACACCATCTTACGACTTCATAAGTCGCCCCGTGAACTCGTATCAGACAGAGATCCACGCTTCACTGCTGATTTCTGGCGTTCCGTGTTCAAATCACTCGGAACGCGCTTGATGGTGTCGACATCTGATCATCCAGAGTCAGATGGTCAGACAGAACGAGCCAATCGTGTCCTAGAAGAGATACTTCGCGGATACGCACACTCCTTTTAAGAGTTGGAGTGAGTTCTTGCCCATGATAGAGTTTGCCATTAACAACTCGTTGCATGCGTCCACGACCCATACACCGTTTTACGTGCATGGCTTGCTCCATCCGCGTGTACCCACCTTACTAGAGTGTAACTCTGGTTTAAGGGGGGAGGGACTCGCGCGAGCAAAAACCGATTTGGTTCACGCTCATCACGCTCTGACGAAGAGGTCATTGCGTTTGATGTCGATATCGATAACATCGATATCGAAGAAGATGATGCCAGTGAGAGTGCGGAAGCCCTCACTGAAGAAAAGATTGATGTTGCTGCAGTGCACTCATAGCGCACTGAAGCTAACGAGTCATCAGATGAGTTCATACTGGCTCGTGAAACGGTAGTCCGTTTTGTGCAAGACTCCATCGCCTTAGCGGTGGATAAGCAAAAGCAAAACGCTGACAAGAATGGAAGGGCAAACACTCTTTTATTTAAGAAAGGTGACTTAGTCCTACTGTCTACAACTAACCTACCAAAGCATGTAGTGACTAGATTAGGTAGTAGTAAACTTCTACCCAAGTACATCGGCCCATTTCGTGTATTGCATCGCCTAGGCAACGCATACACGATCGAACTGCCACGTAAGATGCGAACGCATCCCACGTTTTACGTTGGTCGGCTTAAGCCGTACCATCAGTACGCTGCTTCTTCCGATGAAGAACGCCCTTGCGCTCAAGCATCTCACAGAGAGCCTTGTGCTCCCGATGGTGGCCATCGACAAGGGTCTTAAGAGCAGTTATCTCAGCCCGAGACCGGTCAATATCCACACGAGCTACCCTTAGCTCGTCACGCAGAGATGTCAGAGCTCTCTCGTTCTCAAGCTGAGCAAAGGCAAACTCAGCTCGATGCTTCAAGACAGTGTCCGCCAGTTGAAGACGACTGTCCTGCTAATGTTCAAGATCGCCGCGTAACGCTTGCGTTACGCGATCAAAGAGGCTCTCGGGGATACACGCTTCCCCACAATTGTGTGGAGAGCGTTTTACCTCCTCCTTCACATCCATTAGAGGACTCTCGCGGTGGCCAGCGCTATCTGGTTGAGCAGCTGTTGAACCACCGCGATGTAAACGGACGTCGGACGAGTTACCTCGTCCGGTGGCGCGGCTATCCCCCGTCCTGGGATTCTTGGGAGCCCCGCTCTCAACTGATGGTTGACGTACTGGGTCTGGTCGAGCAGTACGACGCGGCACATCCTGTGCCGCAGAAGGACCACCGGAGAAAGTCTTCCCGGCACGGTCGTAAAGGGATTTCAGGTTGTCAATCCCTTCGTACATCTCAGTAGAGATACGTACGCGCCACCACGGGCTAGTAAGGAGGTAAGTCTCCTTAGGTGCGCGCGCAGAGTTGTTCACACAACATGGGCACGAGTCTCCCCAAGAGAGGCAGGTTAACCCACTTTCCTTAGACAGACGATGCAGCTTGTAGCGTGCACCTGTCGGGGTTCGCTTTTCAAACTTATCACGAGCTTTGATAAGTTTGTCGTTCCAAACGTCACGGCCTACATTCTCAAGGTTATGGATGTAAGCGTTCCACGCTTGAAGCAGTGAGGGACCATCACGTTCGTGATTACCACTGTACCATCGATGTTCAAAGAAAGCATCGATGAAGAACTCATTCTCAGCGCGATAGTTTTTCGCACTGGGTTCAAGGTGATGGATCCTTGACGAATCGAACAATCGTGTTCGATAGCTCTCACTCGTCGTCGCCGACAAGTGATCCATGACGTATTTTGGAGGCATCCATGCCTTCTTCTCGGGAGCGAGACACAACACACTGCGGTCCCGCTCTTCTTGCGACGTGTCGACAGAAGACTGGCACCTTGTTGCGAAGTGGTGTCAATAGGAAAACCGACACCACTGTGAGCGCCCGAGTCTTGCGACCTCGAGCGACTTCGCTTTGGCGATGGTTCATCTGATTCGTCAGATGAACCAAAGATGCTACGACGCATAGCATCATCCATGCCACGCTTGGCAGGTGGCTTGGTTTCGATCGCCGTCGATACGGATCCGTCGGTCCGTCGTATCGGGAGAGTATGAGACACCGAGCTCATACTCTGTGAAGACATGAGTGTCTTCATGACCAGCGCCTGCATCACCAAGTGACACAGGCTAAGTCGCTTCAGCAACCGATGAGACATCAGTTGCTGCGGTTTCTGCTTCGTCGTCCGCACAGAGACGTGCGGACGCGCTCTCGGCGGCCTTGCTCGCGCATCGCATGGGCTTGTTAACCATGCGATGAAACGTTGGGAAGTGGACTCGGACCAACAAGTGCAAACCCTGTCCCAAATAATTTGGAACGAGTATCCATTTAGTCAATCAGTCACTAAAGTGACTGATGGTTGAGGGGGGGGGTGATGTAACGGGGTGAATCGTTACATAACAATTTATAAGAAATTGTTAATAGAATATAACTATAAGAGTTAAATTCACAGAATATCGTCATAAGGACAAATATTCTGCAGCACTTACGAGTAGTTCCTAATTGGTTGATATAGGCCATTATATCAACCAACGAAGAGGCGCCACGACAGACGCACGCAATGAGTGGTGAGCAGATAGTTGATATGCACATTTGTGCGTATCAAAGGCGACTCTCAATGCGTGTATTAAACTGCTTATTCGACAACCTAGAGGGTCCCCGTTATTTCAGGGGATCGATCACGATCAGCCACCGGGTACACCTGCATTCATATCCTGGCTCAGGTCTTTGCAGAGGTCTTGTACTTAGAAACGTTAATTAAATAGACACTCTGCACCTCAAAAAAATGAACATGCTTTTCGTATCCACGCCTCTACCTCGTTCTTGGCTGTTGATCTTGCTAATAAAGTGTATCCCTGAGCTTCGTGAGCCGGCTCTGTGCCAACTTCAAGATCAGTCGCATGCGACCAGCTTCAATAGATTTATGCCGCACGGTCCTTCAGATCACCCTGTGGTGAACTGCGAGTACTGTGACTCAGTTTAGAGTCCTTACAGGACCCGCACCCCTCATTACACTATGGGGCTTTTCGGCCAGTAGGGCCTCCAGCCCACCCAATTATCACACGCCTTGCGCGGGTTGGCAGGGCTCCCACTTCTGCGTGGTTGCTCGTCTACTATAGCGGCCTATCTTCGGCTCCCTGTAATCGAACCCACTCCGAGTATCGATCCAGGCACCTCCCGGTCTTAGTTCCAGAGGTCTACCACTCGGCCACTGGGGGCGGTATGCGACCAGCTTAAAAGTATCTAACGTTGGTTGTCACGGAGAAGGTACTGCATAACTGAGGTCGGCGATTAGGACCGATCCAGTGCCAAATGCGTCATAAATAGCGGTCACGGTGTCGTGAGCTGTAAAGGGGTTACACATCACAGAGTACTCGGTACCCTGTGTCTCAGACACACGGGACGTTATCCCACTAAAAACGATTTAAAATACCTTACCGACTTATAGTGGCCGACGGGTGTCAGCCACACGATAGAAAAGATGTTAAAAATGTTCATTAATTAGCGCATGAGTGCCTTGATTAGGTAACATTATGACCAGGAAATTCTGTAGGGTTAAACGTAAATAAAGTTCAGTTCCTCTTTTGATCTTTTACAAGAGACGTGTCTTGTGATGCGTCGATGATCATAGATCGTTACGAGTTAGCAACACCGCCCTGATAGCTACTCACGAGCACTAAGTGCTGTAGATTCACTGAGTCGTTCGGTATCCTGGAACAGAGACATTAAGCTTTACGCTGGTTGATTCATAGAGTCCAGTTCTTTAGATCGAATATCTCTCTTTGAGTACTAAGTCTTCCTCTGACTTAAGAAGCTGTGTAGCTCCGCTACACTTGGTAGCACTTGTAGTTAATCTAAGCATGATTCTTAGGAGACTGATCCTCTGTGAAGATACGAAATTCCATTTCCCTCTCAGAGGACCAGAAGTTCGCACTTGGTAAGCTGACCGTATCTTTGGGTCCAGGGTATGTGAAATTTCTTGTATCGCCAGTCCCCAAGGGTGCTGACTGCACGTGTTGAGGGCTTCTTTCAGTTTGAGCGTCCCTTCTAGGGCATGTCCAAGACTAAATGGCGTCGGCTATGCTTACACGCAACGTGTCTGTCCAGACGAGAGGCAAGGCCTCGTCGACTTTTAGTGGTAGTTGACAATTACTCAAAAAGGAGGGTGAAAAACTATACGCTGGCTGTGTGAGATTGAGAAGGCCATGAGATCAGGCCTGTTCAATCTTGACCATCAACAGGTGTTCCTGGATATTTCAAAGCTTGATGGAAGAGCTAGAGAATGGGTCTTGACGTGCAGCACGTCGGTCAGTTAAGCGTTTCCCACGTGGGAATCACTTCAGTCACAATTGGTAAAGGTTTCTTCACCACCTACTGCATACTGCTATGCAGTATGTCCCTCATGCATGAGACAGTCCATGTGACTGTATTCGTGGAGGGTCTTCGTACTGGTATTATTAGAACCCGAAGTCTTTCGGGTTCGCCCTTCTACATTCGAAGAGGCTGTGAGAAATGCTATTAATGCTAAGCATAACTTCAAGTTGTCTAGACTTTGCTGGACTGGGTACATCCCTAACTCTGCTAGAGCAAACTCCACGAGTTCTCCGGACATTTATAAGTCAAAAATGATGGATCTCAGATATGGTGAGGATGAAGGTGAAGCTGAACTTTCAGATGCTGGTCAGAAACGTGTTATACGATGGTGTTTTAGGTTCGGAAGCACTAAATATCTGCGGCCTGGTTGCCCTTTGCGTTTACAGCGGCAGTTTACAAGTCAACACTGTACCCCGCACCAGAATTTTGGCATGGTACGGGGAAACGTCAACACCCAGTAGGCGCGGGGCGCCCTAGTTGAGAATCTAGATTTTGTAGCACATTTAAGAGGTAAAGTTGAACAAGGCATATCCTCAAAGAATTCCATACCCACTGCTATGGAGCGTGGACACAAGTTTGGCTTGTTGGTAAGTAAAGCGAAAGCTCGAGGCTTTGAAAAGCCTTGGTCGATTTTAATCAATTCTGAGGCGTCTTGCAATTAAGCTCGACATCGTTACCTTGAGGGAAGTCAGCGTTCTGCTGAAGTGCGTACAGCGCATGAGGGTGATGCTATTAAGATCTATTTAGCAACTAAAAGTCTTGTCAAAGTTCCGTTAAGCTTAGGTATACAGGTTTTCGGACTTTGATAGCATTGGAAGCTGTCTTGTCCTTGATTTAGACTCGAGATAAGGTCTCAACCTAGGGATGGCTTGGCTCGAACGCCGTGATCCATGAACTGATTTGATTTCTAAGACCTTAGGCGCTACGCGCAAATTTTTACAGCGCAGGTTTAGAGAGTCATGAATTTACCTTTGGTCAAAAACAAATTTACAATCGGCGCGAGGCTTTGACAGAAGATTTCAATGTGTTGGACATTAAAACGTCTGAGTTACCTAACTCCAATGTTCAAAGCATTAATTTCGAGCGTAGCGTGTCGAGTATTAGTGAAATGGCAAGTACTCCGTTGAGTGTTACCCGCTGTGATGACGAGTCACTGCATTCTAAAATCACGGTTGGACTAGGGCCGAGTCATCAAGGATGCGATTTCTTTGATGAGTTTGTGGCGGCACGTGAAGATGCACCAAGTGCGGTCGGCCGTGAAGTGGTACTTAATGCCGGTAAAGACAGTTTGGCGAAATGTTGTTAAGTTCAGGGCTATACCCCCATGGGTGTAATTGTAGTGGCACGTTTAAATCAACTGGGTGAAGTGTTCGTGTTACGTAACACTTCACCAGATGTAGATCCAAGGAATCAGCTTGCTTGCAGAGCGTACTACTACTAGTAATAATCACGATGGAACTATTGTCCCGACCCCAGAGGGGTATAAGGTCTCATTGCAGAGACGATTTTGATGCCAGGTGGCAACTGTTGAGAGCCAGGCGTCCGAGGAGTCACATAGTGACTATAGTAATACACTCTGTTCACGTGTCAACCGAGTGACTGACCAGGTTGAGAGCAATGTTAGACTGAAGAACTATTCAATTTCTGGATGCTCGTTGTGAGCTTGACGAAATGGCTGGTAAAGGGTTTATCCATCCTTTGCAGGGAGGGGATGTATCCGAATTAGTGATCATTAGACCCGACGTCGAGTTGAACTCGTCCTTATTAATGTATGATTTGACCCTACAGGACACCAAGGCGTCACTCAGCGCCCGTAAAGGATCTTTGACTCTTTAAGATCCTTTACATCCACTTTATTCATTTTTTAGAAATTCTAAGATGTAGTGTTTCACACTTTACCGTCTGCCTAACCTACCGAAAGAGGTGTACGTCATAAAAATAACCTAGTTCCAGAAACTAAATACTGCGTAACACGGCAGTTGCATTCATTTACTTAAGGAACTGTTTGACGTCATTGACGATTTATTTTATGCAAAGCAAGCGGCTGGAATGGTGCGTGGGAGTAAATCTTTCTAATCCACACCGACGTTTTGTGTCAGGAAGCCAAATGGTAAGCGGCGCACAATCTATGCTTTTAGTAAGCTTGATGATGCCACTATCCCGGCTCAGACACCAATCCCCAGAAAGGAGGTTCTTAAAAAAATATGGTGGGATGTATATTGTACAGTGCGCTCGACTTAGTCGATAATTACTACCAGCGGCTCATGCAAGCAGGCGATATTTTGCTAACAGCGGTAATTACCTTCGAACGGTATGCTCTGGGAGTGTCTCATTATGCCACAAAGGATGCCAAATGCCCCGTTACTTTTGAAACATCGTCTGTTAATGCAACTATTTAGACATCATCGAGGCTATGCACAGACGTACTTTAATGACATCTTTGTCCATAGTCGTGCAACGAACGGCTTATCTGATGTGGGAGAATCACACTGATCATTTACGAGCGGTGCTCGGGTGAATGCTCATGAATAATTTAAATGCAAATGCATCCAAGTGCATCTTTCGTGCAGAAGCGATTCCCTTCTTGTGTTGCTTCATTGGGAAGCGATGCATTCGAGTGGATCCCGCTAAAGCAAGGGTCATAGTGAACTGGCCAGTTCCAATAAAAAAATCTGCGTAAGTGGCTTGATTAGTCTAATTACTTGCATAAGTACAGTGCGAAGTACGCAGACATGGATCGCTCATTATGTGATTTCCATAAAAAAAGGTGTGTATTAGTGTTGGGATAACACTGAGCACGAAATACTCAAACTATAAATGACAGTCTCCTTTAAGCGCCATTATGGCTTTGCCTGATCCTGAT